TTCATGCCGTTATTGTTGAGGTCGCTAGGGCCATTTTTTCCAATCATACGATTCCACTTTTCAGTGTCTACTCCGACGTGCGCATTAAAGTTGCCCATGAATATGAGGGACTCTGTATTCGGCACTTCGTACAGAGCACCCTCCATTTCCTCAAGAAAGGACTCATTCCCTTTCCAAATTGGGCGCATAGACCTGTAACAAGGTCAACACTTCAGCGTGTTGTGGCTTCAGTCGGAGGATTGTCACTCTTCCGCTGACATGCTTCCATTCAATGATTCTATCAGGAAGGTTGGGTTCTGCCAGAACACTAATTACTGCCTGAGCGCATATCGTGATCTGGAAATCTGAGTAAAATAGCTTCCTCCCGGAAACGTTCAGGATTCCAGAGCCTTGGCCTTTCGTTGACGTGGGTCCAAATATGTCCAGTTGGTACCTTACGGTCTCATAAACTAGCTCCTGAACTGTCCCTCTGAGTGAGGATATGTTCCATTTTCTGACTGTAAGCTCTAACTTGCAGTGCCTTTCCCATGGAGCCTTTTTGACACACTATAATGGCATCGCGCTGTCTGCGTGCCCCGTTCAAAACAGGTAGTGACTCCGTTTCTAATTGATATCGTTGTCGTCGTTTCGTCGATTTTCGGCAGCCATTATTGGTTGTGCTTCTACGCATCTGGTTGTCAGGAAGCGATGAACAGTTTCTAATTGCCGACCTTTCGAAACCTGCTTCTGTCCTCTGATAGCCTGCGTGGCCCTTGGTAGCGCAGGGGGATGACCGAGCCGGCTTAACGTTTGATGACAGCGATACGATGAGGGGCATGTGGTTGAGTTTCATAGGAGATCTCGCCCCTTTCTCCAACCCTCCTTTCTCGTCTGAGCTTGGTACCGGCAGCGGCGGAGTTTGACGCGGCATTAGTAAGACGTAATATATCTCCGTTATCCTTCATAGCTGCGAGCTAGTCATGACCGTATAGACATTATCTTTAGAAGATGATGGTAACCGGTTGTCGTGATTCTTCCTGACACGGTGGAACTGGTCTTCTTGGACACGCTGGTCAGCAAGACACAGTGGAGAAGACGTTTGTGCCTGATTAAAATAACAATCAACGGTGAACGAGCTGCACGAGTGCTATCGTTCATTTAGCGAATTGACTGAAACATTGCATCTGTGCATAGTTTACCGGTAGAAAGAAGACTGGTTCATTGAGACAGCTTTGCTGTGTAAGCCCATGTAACACTAAGATGTGGTATCGCATTCACGCACTGCCTGTGTTCAAATATCATGGAATTATGGGCTCTTGAAACGACCTCCAAAGCATCTAGAAACAAGGGGATGGTGCTGTTACACCGTTTAAACGAACTGTTAGGGCATCAGGACATTTTTCTGAGAGGTTGCATTAAAAATTGCTATTTTGGCAGTATCCCGAAAATATCTCGTTCATTGAGGTTGCACATAAATTCCAGCAGCGGATTTTAGTATTTTCAATTGATGTTCTGCCCAACTCAGCTCGTGCTCGAACGTGTATTTGTTCAACCCATCAATGGGATGCAGTATAGCGTCCATGCACTGCAGGCGCTGAAATGTCGTATAGCGTAAAGGTCCCGTAGGCATCAAGAAGCAAGGGAGCGGTGTCATTCCATTATGAAAATCCGGGGAGCAAAAGTTATTTTCAAGAAGCTACATGAAGTTTAGATTGACGCTAAATTGCTCTTCTTTTTCTTAACCTTCAGTATGTATAAAATTCTGTTTGAGAAAAACCTGTCTGCCGAAA